CGCTGTGGGCGGCCTGGCAACAGCCAACTGCACCTTACTCTGTGGGACTGGGACACCGAGATGAGATGCTGCGTCCCAACCCCAACACCGTTTGTGTATTTTTCTATTGTTTTGTTTCTTAATATACACAGCCTTCCTCCTCTCGAGACAGCTTTACGTCATTTGTTTGCTTTTTCAAATTAAAGTGGATCATCATTCATGTCATTGCACACTTGGCTATGACTGGAGCTAGTCGAGGTGTCAGGAAATACATTGACAACGGAAGGCCTCTTAATCTAGGAAAGGCAATTCTGACCTGGTTGTCATGGCATTTTTTTTAAAAAAAAAATTCAATTCCTCTGCATATACTCTCATTTAACCCTCCCAGCCCCCTGTGAATTAGATGTTTTTATCCCCGTATTCCAGATGAAAACGCTGAGTCTCACAGAGGTGAAGTGACTTACCTGTGGCCACACCACTGACTTGTATCCAGATGCAGCTGACCGGAGGTCTGTGCTCCTGCGTCCTCTCCTCCCCCGGAAGCACTGCCGGCCCCAGAGAGCCCTGGGCCAGGAGTCGGAAGACCGGGCTCCCGGTTCTAGCTTTGCTGCAAATTGATTGTGGGGCTGAGGGCACCTCGCTGCGCCTCTCTGGGCCTCAGAATCCCTTTGTGAATTGAAGAGACCGGATCAGACAATCTCCAAGGTCTCTTCTAACTGTGCGGCCTTCGTGCAAGTGGTAACAGGAAGCCACTCTGCTTAAACAGAACCGGGCACTGCGGTCCGAGTCCAGGGGCCCTCATGCAGCTGAGGCTGGGCTGGCAGCAGACCACCACGGCCTGGAGGCTGGGCAGGGGCTGTGTGGGTTGCTACTTCTCCCAGATCCCCGTTTCATTCGTCTCTCCCTGCAAACTGGGTTTCTTTTTCTGCAGATCCGCTTTTTCTGCGTCTTCGGTCAATTGTGGCAGATGCCTCTCCAATTACAATCAGTTCTGGGGGCCAACTGAGTCTCACCAAATTCCAATTCCAATTTTCTGGGGAAAGAAACCTAATTGGGCAAGTTGGATCGGAGATAGCCACCTTGGTCTGATCACCTGGGACCTGTCGCACAGAGAAGCGGGGCCCAGGTTGGGGAGATGCCCCCCTCCCCCACTAAGGGCTCTGTACACAGGGCAGGGATAGCGTCACTGGCAGAGGACATAAGGTTAAGTAGAAATCCATTCTGATGAAGTGACGCTGAGACCTACAGAAAAAGCACGAGCTCATGGGGTTCTCTATCACGTCCTCCATGACACATCTCTGAACGATCTGAGCACCTTTTCCGGAAGAGCTGAGGATGAAAGACGATGTCAGCTGCCTCGAGGCGGAGACAACACAGGATTCATTCATTGCTCACGATCCCTGCCGCTTGACGCATGTGGATGTGTGGCTGCCGTCCCCTGTTCTGACCGGTGTGACGTTTCCTCTCTCCCTCCTGCAGCCCCCAGCCGTCTTTCGGACACTTCCAGTGTCCATTCCTGCATCCCGTTTCCCCCACACACCTGGATCCAGGCTCTCAGCATCGGGATCCTGAGCCGCTTAAACAACTTCCGACTTGCTTCCCTCGACTCCAGGGGTTTCTTTTCAACCCGGAACCCGCTGTGCACACCATTCCCGGCACTTAGCCCTCAACGCTACTTTCCACTCCAACTCCCTCCCTGGCTCGAAAACCTTCCCCAGTGCCTGCTCCTTATGGTATCATGTCCAAACTCCTCGACCCACGGTTCAAGATCTTGCATTTCCGATCTGATCTTAGATTTCCGACGTTTTCTCCCCTCTCCCTCTATGTAAACCTAAACTCCAATGTCCCAAATGTGCCCATCACATCCCCACGCCCTTGCCTTTGCTCACCTCATTCCCTCACCTCCACGAAGCCCCCATCATCCTGGCTGGCCTGTCCTCTGCTCCTCCACGACTCTGTAAGTATGCAATGACTTGGCCACCTGGCCATTTAGAGACGTGTCCCCACCGTCCACGCAACTTGTGCCTAGAGGTGGCACTTATGTTGCCTTCGTCTTCATCTTCAGCACGGAGGGCAGAGCCCAGCCCTTTGGTGGATGCTCAGGAAATGGTCGTTGCCTGAGCTTTTGCTGTCCACCCTGGGTGATTCCCTCTCGACCCCTTCCAGGACTTGTGGACACACTGTGGACATGCCTGAAGGGTCCTGAGTTGCCAGTAGGAGTATCCTCCTACTTGGGTCCCTCCAGGACCAAGCAGGCTGGGGCAGGGGTGGGGAGTCCCAAGAAAAGTCTCCAGACTGTCTGGATTTCCATCCCAGATCATGTCTGGAAATATACATATGTGACGGTGTCCTGTATTCAGATTGCTTCATGAGATGAGAGGGACTTGATGAGGCTCTCGAGACTTGATTTTGTGGCCAGATTGCCCCCGATGTGTTTTCAAACCTAAGCAGATGCCAGTTTTAAGAACTAAAACAAGGTCTTCAGGGAACCAGAGCAGCTAGGATGAGCTGAAGCGATGAGTCTTCTTTGTGCCAATGATCCTTCAGTGCTCATCAAGCCCCAAGGACTAGTGGCCGTGGTCTCTACAGTGTCTGGTCCTTGACCCTTCTCCAGCCCCCTTACCCCGTGCCCCAGTTCCGTCATCCAACTTGGAGGCAACAGGGCAACGGCGTGTGTTGAGGGGACAGGACTGCCTGGCTGTCAAACAGCTGTCGCATCTGTCCTTGAGCAGGGACCTTCGGGGAAAAAAAAACTGACACCGCGTGGGCCAGCTTTGCCGGTGAGCTTGTGCTTTGTTTCTCTGTAGCTCTCAATGTCACCTCCTTTGGAATGGAATTGTACTTGTTTCTTCTGCCAATGATGCTATTCCCGTCCTGTGTGCAGAACCTCGTGGGAGGCTGTCTGCTCGGCCTGAACCCCCACATCTTCTTTATGCTGCAGAACCCAGTCGATCAGACCAAGGTGGGTATCCAACCCAGCTTGCCCGATCGGATTGCTTTTTGGAATGAGTGCCCAAGAGGAGAGTAAGAGCGAAGTCACCATGTCTTTCCGACATAGTCTTGGGAGTAACACGCCATCACTTCTGGCACATTCTAGTCGTTAGAAGCAAGTCACTACGTCTAGCCCTCGCTCAAGAGGAGAGGGATGAGGTTGCTCCGGAAAGAGTATCAAAGAATTCGCGGGCCTGTTTTAAAACCACCACAGCACAGAACTGAACACTGAAGGGTTCCCAAGTGTTTCGAGGCTTGGCAGTCAAGGGACAGGGTCTGGGGAGTCCCCTGCGGCAGGCAGAATAACCGTCCCCCAAAGATGTTCACGTCCTAATCTCCAGAACCTGTGACGATGTTATGTCACGTGGCACAGGGGAAGCAAGGTGCTCACCAGCCGACCTTAAAATCCTTGATCCCGTATTATCCGGGTGGGCCTGATGTCATCACAAGGGTTCTTAAAAGTGGAAGCAGGAGGCAGGAGAAGAGCCTGTGTCGGCGTGAGGCAGAATGAGGAGGACGTGGCTGGCCACTGCTGGCTCTGAGAGGGAAGAGGACCAGGGGCAGAAATCCGGGCAGCCTCTGGAAGCTGAAAAAGGCACGGAAACATCCTCCGAGAGCCACCGGCAGGAACGCAGGCCTGCCGACACCTTGACGTTGGCCCAGGGAGACCCGTTTTGTGTTCTTGGACCATTGAATGCCTGGCGATCTGGTACAGCGGCACAGGGACACTCACGCAGGGCTACACCACTCTTCTCCTTTGCCCCATCCCTAAACATGTCTGCTTTCTTCACACGCTTATGGTTATCGTCCTTATTTCTACGTGGTCCATATTTTTAATATAGAGCTTTACCATCTCCTTTAAAACTATAAGTTCCTGGAGGGCAAGGCCTGTGTTTTGTTTTGGTTTTGGTTTGGTTTTTAAATGTATATCTGAAGCACCCGACACACGGCTCGATACTATGTAGCCATTAAATACTTGATCGATTATTTACTAGACTGACTGAAAGTCAAAGCGGCAGACTGAGCAAAGAGAGGAAGCAAATAAGAGCTGGTGTGAAGTGAAGTGTGAAACACCATTAATTCCTTCTCCATCGAACTGGAGCCGAAGAATCTCGCCCGAAGCAGGGCGGCTCCTTGAGACCCTGTTTCCCTGGATCTTTCCTTACCCCCGCTTCGAGCCATCAGCCAAGCCTCCTCATCCCTCAGTTAGCAGACTGGGGGCTACAAACACACACGTCTCCTTTCGGTGGGTAGGGAGGATGGATTCTCGGAGCCCAAGGGGACCAAGTTCCCTGTGAGCGCCAGGGCCCTGGGTCCCCCTGCATGCTAGACCCTGGGCCTGGGGGTTCCCCACATCGCCCAAGACTCTTGCCCCCACCCCAACACACACAGTGCCGGAGCCAAGAACACGGAGGGAGCAGGTGGCCAGGACAGTGGGGGTGTCTCCTGTGACCACATGGAATGGCATCTGATATTCTCGGGGCCTCCCCTCTCCTCCAACCTGGGACCTTTGCAGAACCAGGTGGGGTGGAGGGAGACGGTGGACACCGGGAGGGAGATGGCCCCAAGGGTGACCAAGACAGAATTTTCCACTCATCCACCAGGAGCAGGAAGAGGAGTTGGAGTCTGAAATATGTCTGTTTAGAATAAAAAAAGAGTGACACTCTTTGTACACTCAGGTTTGGGGCTGATATTCACACCGGTGACACCGCCTTTGATTTTAAATGAAGATTTTAATCTGGGAGGAGGGCGGCCTTGGGCAGGGCAGAGTGGAGGAGGGCAACAGCCTTTGCTGTGTGGCCAAGGACGGGGGCGGATGATCCGGAGCTGCTGGCTACGTTGGAAGCACGTCCTCGGTCACGTGGGGGCCGAAGCACAGGTACATCAGAACGAAGCTCCAGATTCCAAGGGTGATAAGGGTGCCCAGGCCTGGTGCGGCCGTTTCCTGTTAGGCAGGGAGAGAGGCAGGAAGCCGAGGCAAGGTCAGGTCAGCTGCTGGCGCGGCGACCTCCCCGCCGTGGAGCCTCCAGGCTGAGCTACCCACGTCCTCCTTCCTGGTGCCACGTGCTCTGGGACCGAGTGGGTGTGGTCTGCACAGCCACAGGTCAGATGTGATGGGGATGCAGCCTTAGGGCTGACGGGGCACCCGCCTGAGACCCGGCACTTCTCCTGTGGGTCTACCTACCCCTGATTGTAGTTGTTCTTTAGGGCACACAACAAACATTTCTCCTGTAGAGGACAGAAACGGCACAAGAAAGATCATTTTTCCCTGGTCCAAGATGGCCAGCCTGCTGGGCACCTCGTCAAGTCTTGCTATAGGAAAGGACAGAACAATACAGTGGCTCTTGGGGACAGGCATATCCAGGGTTGAGTCCTACTTGGTCATGACTTAGCGATCTCCCCAGGCCTAGAGGGCAACACTCCAGAGGCCTCCGGGGCCCGCGGAAGTGGGGACCAGGCCCCTCACGCCGGAGGGCCAGAGGTGCGGGAGCAGAGCAGGCCCAGGGTGGTGGGGGAGCAGGAGCCAAGGGCTTTTGAAACGCAGCCCTCAGCAGGGCAGAGGCAGGGCTTCACTTACATAGCGGGTCCCACACTGATGAAGGGAATCCAGCGGGTCTTTTTTTGGTTTCTGCGGTGCCAAAATTTTCTTGTGAAGACTAAGCGATGCTCCATCAGCTCCCTCCATTTCCTTGAACCGGAGCTGTGGGTCGGTGCCAGTCTTGCCTGTCAGCCTGAGTTCCTGATGCTCCTTTGTTCCTCTTCTAAGGGGACTGGGGAGTCAGGGAGGGGCAGAGTTGGGGGGACAGTTTCCAACATGACAAAGAGATAACCATAGCATGGGTGGCTGTGGAAGGCCTTGACTCCAAGCCACTGGGGCAAGAGAAACCAAGACAGCTCCTTGCAGTCTGAGGTCCTCTGAACCCCGAGGATGTTTAGCCAAGTGAAGGGGGAGGTTCTTTAGAGATGAGTAGAGGTGGGTACAGGTTATACTTACAGCTTGCTGTTCTTGTGTATATTTATTAAAACATCCATCTTCTCATCCATATCCTTCTGCATTTCCTTCAAGACAGAATTCAAAGCCAGAATCACCATCTTGAAGTGCTCTTGAAATCCCTTTCTCCTGCCTCTGTCTGCGAACAACTCAGAGATCACTTTGGCATCTTACTTCCTCGAGAATCCTCACTGACTTTGCGTGAGGTGGCCTATGGAGCGTACATGACACAGGCTGCCACCCCCTTTCCCCTCCCCCATTCCATGACGAGGCTGAGCAACAGGTACAATCATTAGGGGCTTGTCCAAAGTCTCCAGGTGAGTCAGAGGACAGCTGCTGTTTTACCTGAGCTCACACTTGGATGAAACCATTGTCAGACTTGGTTCAAGGCCTATGAAGTGACGGAACCAAGAAAAGAAATCATGTGACCCCCTCCTCCCAAGATACTCTGACCCCAATGTTTTGACCCCGGCACGTACACAGAACTTGTGTATTTGTGTTTGCTCTATCTTTTACCCAATTCCTGGCAGAAATAGTCAACACGAAATAAAACTAATAGTAGCTCTAATGACACTTTGCATTTATCATTTACTAAGAATTGAAAGAATAGTAAAATCTTCTTGGCAAAGTTTAGATCTATAAATTTGACCTGAGAAAATTAAAAATAGTGGTTACAAATGAAATTCTAAGATATTATCATGGGTAATATTTGTTATGGACAAAATAGGTTTAGATCGAACATTATAAAATGTAAATGAAAAATAATTTGCTTCAAGAAAAATAATTTTAGTAAAAACGAAAGATTTGATAACAATTTACTGAACTGTGGTAGGAAATTGATCAAAGAATGATACTGTCTGGGTGGAGATGATTTCCACGTTCTTGTAGAGCATTTTTAAATGTTACTATAAATTTTGAATTAAATATTAACATCCAGAGTCAAAATATCCTTGAAGTCAAAATGTCCCATACTGTTACAGGTCTAACCATCTCTTCAAACTCATGTCCCAAACTGACCTCATTTTCTCCTCTAAATTAGTTCTGTTTCCTAACTCTCCTTGTCATTGTCACCACTTTCTTCTAATCGCACAGATGAAAGCTCTGGTGTCATCGTGGATGTGTGCCTCTTTTCATTCTCTGTGTTGTTGAATCGGTCACAAAGAATGCTAATTTTCCTTCAATGCATCTTTCAAAGGTACCTTTCCTTCTGTTCCTACACCTGGTCCAGCTTTCTTCACCTTGAGCTGGATGCAGCTTCCCATCAGATATTTTTGCTCCACGCAGCCCCTGCCTGCTCCCCGGGGGGCCCCAGGCCACCTTGCAAACAGCTGCCAGCTCAGCTTTCTGAAGCGCTGCTTCTCGCATGTTCTTTGGTTGAAAGTCTCCAGAGGCCTCTTACTGCTTACACAGCCAGGTCCCAACCTGTCTGCCCGTCTTTCAAAAGCCTTCATCACCACTGCCTTGGTGCCCTTTCCATTTCGTTTCTCACAAGTTTCCCAAATGACCCCACTTTCATGACTGATCTCCTCACTGCACGTTCATCCTGCTCCCCAGCTGCACGCAAGCTGTGCCTTTGCCCAAAATAGCCTCCTTTGTGCCTTTGGAGACCCAGTCCTCTCCACTAACGAAACACTGACCGTGATTGCATTTTAGTGTAGAAAATTTGGGTAACACAGAAGAATAGAAAAGAAAAAATAATCATCACCTGCAAATAACTATTAACCTTTTGGTATATTTCTTTCTAGTCCTTTTTCTATATATTTACTTATCTCTTTCTTTTCTTTTAGTTGAGATCGGCCTGTATATATTACTTGTATCTTGCTTTTTTACTTCTCATTATAAGCATTCTTTCTAAACACTGTCTCTAAAGTTCCTCATTTTCATTATACCGATAAACCATAATTTATGTGGCTATTTGCCTCTTAAAAATTCTGTTTGTTTCCAAATTTTTGCTATTATAAATAACCCTGTCATGAGCATCTTTACACACACACACACACACACACACACACACACACACACACATCCATGCTGGAGTTCTGATTGTTCTCGTAAGTTAAATTCTGAGACGTGGAATTGATAAGTCAGGGAGTTTAATATTTTCTGATACCTCTAGTCCAATTTCTTCCTTTTCAGTTTTGTACAAACTTGTACTCT